CAAAAAGAAAAAATAGTTTTGCAACTTCATTTTCATAATATGCTACACGAATTTTTAAAACTTAGGAAATATCAATGATAAAAAACATACATTAAGAAAAATATTGAAGGTTACTGAACGAAATGATTAAATGTTCCGTTATTTTAAATGTCTGTTACTTTGAATTGATAAAATACATTTATAGAAATGAAGTGACTGACAATTATGAATAATTGGTATATAATATTGACATTTTTACGCCTTATGCATTGATATTTTAACTACAATGAGTTTTTTGTTTCTTATCCTGAATAATATTTTTTATAATATTGCACGTTCTGTACGTCGCTTTTTCATTGGATAATCGTGACGTTATATTATATGTTATTTTGTTTTGGAGTGATATATGTGGATATATTACCTGTCAGATTTTATATCACCCGAGCCGTTAGGCGAGGGTGATATTTTATCTTAGCAGGTAATATATCCACATATATCACTCCAAAACCAAAATAATAATGTTATTACCCTTCCCCTGCCGAGTTAAGACGATTTTAAAATAAATCATTGCTACTTCAAATAAAACGTCGAAATAAGATGCCCTTTAGCGTACCCCTTCATCACTACATGACGTCAAATAAATTCATACATATATTCTTTCGAACACAAGAGAAAAAAGGAGCAGTCTGTTGAACGCACTTTTTTTGGAATTAATTATCAAAGCTTCTCAAGGTCATATTTTTTTTCAATACTGATGAGAATATGTATGATTACTCTATTTTGGTAAATATTATCATTTGACAGTTAAAAGTGCTTGCAAATCGGAATTTACATCGCGTTAAAATCAAACCGTACTCCATAGCGCATATTGTTTAGAGTTGGTGTACCCAACGGGGTAATGCAGTGTGTATATTTCCCGTCTGGCTCGGTCTTATCAATTTCTTTCGGTGATAAATATCCAATCAAAAAAAGCGGAAAAATCTGGAAGGGTAATAAAGTTTTATATACACGACTGCTGCTGATTTATGAAGAAATCTCGATTTATTCCTCTAAAAATGATGCTTGCCCTATATTATAAATTCGTTACAGATTATTTCTGACAAGTTATATGGCCGTATATAAACATTTGTTTGCAATATAAACCTCGCCTGGTTTATATTTACAAACAACCATTCATTAGGACCATATAACTTGTCAAAATCTTTACAACTAATACTGTAATATATTCTCAAAAGTATGGACATGATGTTTCGATTAGGCCAATTTTAGTTCAGATTTAATTCATAAACTGAATATAACACCACGTAATACGCACTTTCTTATCAAATGTCGTAAGTTTTGACGATTACAGAACTAATTAATATGGAAAAAACTGGAAATTTTGGCTTACCAGATTCAATAAGATTACAGAGTAATTTGAGAGCATTCAGCTGCAACGGTTCATCTTCTCTGTTGTTTGTCATAGCCTGTAATACTGCATGAACACCTCCATTCTTCAAGATCCGGAACTTGTTATCTGGAACTGTTCAAAGTTCGAATGATTTTACGGTAAGAAATAATTATGTTAATTACTTATTTTCTATGTAAATGGATTGATACGATGTGAGTTCACATTTAAATAAACATAATAATATTAAGTATATTTTTATACTTTTTTTGTTTAACAGCGCACCAACACAATTTAAGTTATATGGCACCTCACCGGCTGGAGCTGAAAAATGCTTAGACGCCAGTTATTCAAACTCATACGATGAAGCAGGGATAAACAGTGGCTAAAATTCTGAGGCCTCAACCCTTAAAGACAACCCCTTAACCACAAGGGACATATTTTCATACGTTTGATACAGTAACAATAAAAAAGGCATTTCGGACAATGAGTAAACAGTTAAACATTGACACAAAGTGTGTGTCCATGAAAAAAACAAAATTACCATTTGCTGACAGATTCGTCAGTGCCATACAGCCAGTGTTCTGGACACTTAAATTTCGTTCAATCTTCAACATGCAGGCAATGATGGCCTCTGAAGCTCCCATGTCTTCGGCATACTTCCGGAAGTTTACTGCAAAATATTATTACATATATATTGATACATACTGGCCTGAATGACTTTTTGAAAGCTGTGATGTATGGTGGCTAATGTGTGCCATTCTTGTTTTTTATTAAATTCTGGAAACAAAGTGATCCTTCGGAAGCATCAATCACAACAAAATAACATAAGAATTGGAGATTCGGTTTGATTGAGTCTGTACATGAGGGATAATGAATAAGTGCAACATCCCTCACGCCCCCTAGCACCGGCTTGAGTGGTACTCAATTCTCAATTAATTGAGACAATTAATTTTACAAATTGAATATAACTGAGTATAATGCGGATTTTCTTCAAATGCCGTAAGCTCTGTTTTTTAATTAACGTTATATATGGCAAAAAAAAACTGGAGAAACAGATTCAATAAGCCAAGCGAAAAGTCGAGAATAAACAAGATAAAATGGCGGGGTGGCGGGACGAAAGCACGGTAATAAGCGGAGGCGCAGGGAAAAGTTAAACTAATAAATCATCGTCTCGCGGGGCACAGGATGAGATTAAAGAAATAAAACGGCGGGGCCGCGGAGCGAAAACATGCGTTTTTCGTCTTTTTTATTCTCGACTTTCCACTCGGCGGAGTCGCGGTGAAAACACGAATGTCACAAATCAGCCACCATAATGATGACCTTTATCATTCCAAATAGTTTTACCACTTTTGAAATCATTTACACTGAATTTTCCTTACAAGTAACGAACTTTTACCATTCACAGAGACACTGATGTTTATAAATTGACGAAGATTTACCATTAACACTGATTTACAAATTTGAAAACCCTTAACACTGATTGTCCGTTATACAAAAACGATATTATGTATGGATTTATCCCATTAATGTTTTAGATTGACGAAGACTTACCGTTCACACTAATGTTTCCTATAGTTTTACAACTGTTTAGTTGTATGTCAATATTTTCCTCGTATGTCCTCATTAATTCAATCAACGTTGTTACACCATTCAGTCGGATAACAGTCTCATGTACGCATTCTTTAATAAACAAGAATAGTTATCATTTAAAATGAGTCATACCTTAAGTCAAATAAATTAAAAGTATGATAGCTCCATGTCTTGTTTTCTTGAGACTTATATCCCAAAGTCGATATTTAACAAAGTTAAATTAGCATGTAATACGTTTGCGATTAGCATGGATCCAGACGAGCCTGCGCATCCGCGCAATCTGATCAGGATACATGTTGTTCGCTTACAAAGTAGAAAAACTGAAAGCGAACAGCATGGAGCCTGATCAGACTGCGCGGATTATTATCATTATTATCATTATTATTGTTATTATAATCATTATTATTATTATTGTAACAAACATATGGCTGTCTTTAAAAATCTGTGCTCAACGTCAAAATTATTGAGCAACTGGCAACTTCCTAACTTAAAGAAAATTTCAATTGCGAAATTAAATATGTAATGTTGTAACCTTTGTAAGACACGAAAGTGTTGATGGCGTAACAGATGTGTTCCAGCAATTCCACATTATTTGTAAATATACTGCAACAGCCCAGTAAGATCTCTACGGCTTTCTGACTGTCTTCATCACTTAAACGAGACGCTGCAAGACAAACATATGAAAAAATATTTTAAAGTTTTATAGTCCTCATTGAAAACTATTGCCCGCCAAACTGACTATTGATACTTCTATGATATAAAATCATTAAATGACAAGTGCAATGTATATTCAGATAGATCCAAATGAAACCATCTTGAAATATGCCGGTGTGTCCCCGTAAAGGAACACTGTTATAGCTTACCACACATTTCAGATTTTAAATAATTAAAATCTTTGTGACAGAAATATTTCAAATTAAAGAAAAACACCAGGTTATTTTCATAATTATGAATAGGAGGGTTTCGACTGTCACTTTCTTTGAAATTTTATGCTGAGACAGAGTTCCACTTGGCCATTTGACGATTAGTCTTTTGTCTATCTTGGTATTTTTAATTTAAAAAACATTGTGTCCAACATTGATCTGTCAAGGATCAGGTCCATGACACTCCGACTCGAATCATAATTATTTACACTTAGTTATGAAAAGTAATGAAACAAAAGCTATAATATATACATATAGAGCTTTAGTTTAATGTTTATACTTAAAACACCATTTCTAAATAAGGTGCAAAACAACATGTATAGTTGCAAAGCAGAAAGGCAATCTAGAAATGTGGTTATCGCAATGCATGAAGGCTTCTTAACATGTATATTGCATATTATTGAAATGAATTGAAATAATAAATTTACTGAAAAACAATGTATTTATTTCATTCTATTGGAAAACTTAAAATAGTGTTGCAAATGAAACCTATTGAAATATATAGATGAACGTCACATAATAAGTCCAGAGTCATATACCAAACAAAACAAAAACAAAAAATGAATTACCTAATACTACAAGATTGCATAAAGCCCAGCATCCGTATTCCTGAATACATTCCACGTGCGGAAATGACGTCATTGTTTTCAGCAGCATATTGAAAGCGTCTTTTGACATCAGTTCCATACACGCACAATCTGAATGTACAATATAGTCCTAAAACTGACATATAGATTTTTAAGGTATGAGGTATCGGTATTTTATCTCTTACAACTTTTATAACATGAAGTCGCTTTGTTTTCCACGTTATGGGACCGTCACACCATGTTCTGGTCAGCGTTCTATGTCGTTTTGGATATCGTTGTAAGTAGCCCATGGTTGCTTGGATAGCGCCATAAGAACGTTGTGTAAACGACAATGAACTTCTGTAATCGCCGGGAATCGGTATAGATCGCTGGTCCGGAAAAAAGTTTTGAACATGCACAAAAGTTTTCACTCAGACCAGCGTTCTTCAACGTTTAAATTTCAAACGCTGAAGAACGTTTAAGGCAGCTTGCTACTTTCCGATCGTATCATATCTCAGTTCTTGATGATTTTTGGTGTGCAAATAGAATCTATGTATATATGTAAGCTTGACTTCCGCAGCATTATTTTGTAAAGAAAAGGCGTGACTATGACGTCAAAGCGCCCTCTATCGTCGGCGTATGAATTGCGACATTTATATCGATAAAACGGCCTGTTTCTATCAATTCTCGTCCGTTTTTCTTCATTTGAATGGAACGTTTTATTCACTTTCACTGAGCGTTGCACACGTTCGTCTTTCGGTAGTCAGCCGTTCCTCAATCGCTACTTGGTTGTTACTTATCGTTTGCTTTGCAGTGAACGACTCACTGGCGACTCTAACGACCGCTGAACGGTCTTCAAACGCACAAAACGTGTGACTAAAGGTAAAGGAACGTCCTTTTTGCGATCATTGAGCGTCATCTGTGCGTCATTAAATCGTTTCACGAACGACTATGCATATGTAAAAAAACAAGGTTCATTTGATTTTGTGCGACCGTAGAGAACACATTCCATGGAAGATCCTGAAAGATTTAGAAGGCTATATATGTTTGCTATATAGCCAAGCATCAAGTAGATATACGGAACTTTAACATAGCTGAACATATCGGGGGAAATCACCAGCAGAGAAAACCCCGACATTCATCCAAAGAGAAGAAGACCACGACAATGACGACAGTGTTGGACTAAATCATAAATATAAAGAAGTCAAGGATTTGGATTTTTTACAAAATGTAGCTAGTAAAAATCCTCATCCCAATTTTTTTCCTTGTTGTCATGATGCTGACTATTCAAACACACAACAACTGAATTCACTATGAAATTTCTAGCGCTCTGTACCCGTTAAGCCGTAATTTACGCGTAAGTCGCACGCTTACAACGCTCGTCAAGCGTAGACAAATAGTTCGTCCCACACCAGTGACACGTTAGCACACACTTATCGGTTTCAGACGTATCCTACTTCGTCGCTGTTTCACGCTCCCCGTGCGTTTCACACACGCTAGTTATGCGTTAGACGCACGTTAATCAAACGCTAGATGTGTCAGCTTCATTCAAGAACGTTCAAAAATTGAACGATTGAAACGTTCAGAGAGCGTTGACCAGAACGTCATGGTGTGACGGACCCTTAATACAAACATTTCGTATTCCCATGCAATATATTGAGGATATTGATTTGAGTGTAAATGAGTGTAAGTTCAATACTGAATTTATTGCACGAATTGAATAAGATTACATTATGCGAGCCTCTGGCTCAAACAGTGCAATAAATTCAGTATTGAACTTAGATGAATTTAATATTTTATTTATCACATACCAAAATAAAGACCGTTTAAAGTAAAATAAGAGCCATTTTTCATTGACGAGCCTATAGTATAACGCTAACATTTAGCGCGTCTTTACACTATGTTTGTATAACGCTAATGACGTCATGTCTAAATATATGCACAGCCGTGCAATACCATATTTACGGAGTCGCAAAATCGGCACAGGTGTAATAAAACATCATCGTAATTTTGCCTTTTTTATTATATTGCAACTTATGTGAAATCCTATAGATATAAAATATGAGATAATTGAAATCCATTCTAATGTTCATATGTATACATGTATCTTTCAAAATAAACACCACACTAGATCTAGTATTTGTAGCACGTAAAACATAAGTAAAAGGTTTCGCTGAAGTCCATTATATATTATATTCCGGTAAGATTGTAAAAAGTTTTATAAACTTTTTTAATTATCATGAAGTGTACTCCCATCATAGTGGTGGTACGTAAGTATATATGGTAAAGACCCATGCATGATCCAGACCAACGTGTTTGGGTTAGGATGCAAACTATGTAACAATTTTGGGGAAGAGATATTTATTCAATTTTTTTCTGTATTATACTTGGTACAGTTACTTATTTTAAAGATACAACTTTAGTACAAATATGTTGACTATTTTGTATTCCAATCTTACCCTAGTTCTTTTTAAAGAAGGTACTATGAATAGTTCTGCTTGAAATAGAATTGAATAACCCATACCATGATATACAATAAAGCCAAATACTGTATATTTTGATTAGAAATGTTATGACGTCATTTAAATTATAACTCCACTATTTCAACACTATATTCACCTATATATATTCGTAGTAACTACTGTAACAAGTATCTATATTTACAGTGCATCATGCCTGGTAATTTTTACGTATAAGGCAATTATAAGAAATCATCTGTACCAATGGTAAAAACGCGTTGGCCGTATGTCATTTCTCTCTCATTAAAAAGCCAAATAACAATATAGTAAATTATTTAAAGAATTCTTAAGTACACAAGCTATAACTCAGTTACAAATGTCATAACCTATAAAATTCGGGCAGATTAAAAAAAGTGAATGTTTCCATTTTAAAATCGTCCGCAGTGATGTCATTTCTATTATACAAACAAGTACTTAATAAAATAGTTTAGATAATTCTTTGTGTATACCCTGTACAACTTGAATATTCTGTTTACCATTGCCTCGTATCATAAAAAACCAAACAACTAGACTGTAAGTCTATATGGCGTCACAAAATTTAGTTGTTTTAAACATAGAATCAAAAGAGCATATTTATCAAACTTAACGTTAATGCTTTTTTAAGGAACCAAGTAGAATGTACGTTGAAGAGCCAATTAAACATTTATCTACGTAACAAGTCATGTGTTCATCGTTTCTATCACACAACACAACTTTCAAGTTATTTTTTGTAAAGTATTTAAGTGCATAAAGGTCAATTTTAAACACAAAGAAACTTAACTACAAAAATAACCAGGCGCATAGTTGAGATAAGGCCTCGAGAAAGAAATATCATTTGATCTTTCCTTTGTTGACTTATGTACATAATGATGTATTAATAGAAAAATATTAGCCAATGACGCTCATAGATAGAAAATTCAAAATCGTGACTTATTGGCACAGCAGCCATGTAATTAAGTAAGAATTTTCCCAACAATGCGCCTGGAATAGCACATGCAAAATCCATGCAGAATTACTTGGACACAAAACATTAGCTCTTCAATATACACTCTTACCCGATCTAAAACATCCGCGGCTATTTCTAGGTAATGTCATGAACATTAAACGTTGTTGCTGAAAGTACTCTCTCCAAAATAAGGCTAACTGAAGGTCATCAGCCGTTGGTACACAGTGGCTGTCAATTTTTGTGCCTGCAATGATACCTCATACTGTCTCAGATATATCGCCTTAGTTTTATATTTATGTAATAGTTATAGAATATATTCGAGGACTTTACCGGCTGGTATCAGGGGTCAATCATAGGAAAGTAATCGAGACGGAACGTCATTAACCCATTACTTCATGAGCATTTTGTGAAAAATGGCTGTTTTCATTGAAAAGTCTCCCGTTACAAGTTCAAATTGCTATAATACTATAAAAACTGCTTCAACACTAATCAAACTTGGCACAAATGTTGACTGGACCATTGCCCTTGCAACAACATGCTCAGGCTTAAATTTTCTGTTACCATGGCAACGAGGGGACATCTCAAAATTGCCAAAAATCACCATTTTGCGTTGATTTTTTCCATTATAATTGATTTCAAAGTGCTGCAACTTCTCAATGGATTGAGATAGAGTCAAATGCTTTTCAGCGTTGGTTCCACGTTACCTCATAATCAATCTGGGGTCATTTATAGTCTCTCACAAGTCCAAAATTTTCTTGGCGATGAGGGGGACTCCCGCCCCCCTTCAAACCCCCCAAACAGAAGGGGGCACATCCCCCTTCTTGCAACCCCCTGATGTATCTTTTGGTTGGGGGGCCGCGCCGAAAAAGTGGTCACTTTTTTAACAACATTTCTCAAACAAAAACAAGTGTTAAGGGCCTAAATAATGTTTTTTTCACCATTTGAGACAACAAAAAGGGGGGGTGAAAAAGGCGTTAAAAGGCGTGTATATGAAGTAATGGGTTAAGAGCAGCCCAAAGTTTTCCAGAGAACGCCGGTTGCGGCAGTCATGTGATATCGTGTCGTTGTTACTGATGATATAATTAGTGACGGCGAAGACGATGAAGACAAAGATAATTACGTTGATGCATTTGTTATTGTTTTAAACCAGAAAATGTGTCATATGATATGGGACTCCAGCCACCTTGTTAAGAGATAATTGTCGTCTGCTTCTCAGGTACGACACTTATTTCTCTCCTACATAGAGGATTATTTACGAAATAATTAATAATATTGTATAGTGAAGGCAATATCTTAAATAATATTGCTGAATAATCTTAAAGTATAAATGTAACTTTAAACGTTGTAAAGCAACAAAATAAATGTGTTACGATCTTCCAAGGCGTATGAGTCAAACCATAATGCGCGGCAACTATAGTTTAGATAAGTGCTGGGAACCGAAAGGTCAAAACGCATTTTCACCATTGAACAAACGGATGGGAATTTTTTAGAAAACATTGTAAGCAATGGACAAAATGATGTATGTCAATACCTACAGTCGCTCAGAATCAAATTTCAAATATACATGTATCTTACAAGCTGTTATGATGATTAACGCAAGAATCGCGTACCAAAGAAATATTACATACAAACAAGCATGAATAAGTTTAACATAATTAAGTCAGCAACAAATGAAAATCTTATAAAATCTGTATATGTATTTTTGTATTATGGTATAAAAAAGGATAACAATATCTGCAAAATATCTAATATGAAAAATGCTTCACTAACACTATATATACAGTATATATAACAGTATAAATATTAATTTGTTGTATGTAAATAATTGATATGTTAATTGTCATTCTGTAAATATGTTGTGCCTCATATTATTGCAAGAGCTCGAGTCCAAAAAACAAAAACATGTCAGTGTCAAAACAAGATCTAAGTTCAAGTAGGATTAGATTGCACATAATTGAGCTGAGTCACGACAAAACCAACATAGTGAGTTTGCGACCAGCATGGATCCAGACCAACCTGCGCATCAGGGCAGTCTGATCAGGATCCATGCTGTTCGCTATCAGTTTCTATACTTGCAATAGGGTTTGTAAGCGAACAGCATGGATCCTGATCAGACTGCGCGGATGCGCAGGCTGGTCTGGATCCATGCTGGTCGCAAACTCATTATGTTGGTTTTGTCGTGACACGGCTCATATGTTTATATGACAAAACGTTTTATTTGTTAAATATTTAAAAAAAAAGATTTATGAATCAAACAACATGATGTTTACCTGACCGTGACAGGCTGGCTAGTGCCCAACAACAACCTTCTTGCAACGCCGCGTTGTCCGAAAATGTCGTCATAACTGTCATGATAGCACACGTGGCTCCAGCTTCCGAAACCGCTTGGCACGTGTCATCTAAACGATAGAAACGTATAGTTTTTAAAATGTTTGCGTTTGTCGGGTAAGAGAGATGTCATTTAATTTTAACCCTTAACCTCCGTTACCTGCTAATTTTTAATATAGCCTTATTCATTTTTTTCCATTTTTTGAACGGTCAATTATCATTTTGGTGATGTCAAGATGAAATTTTGAACTTGGTCAGCCAACAGTTTAGGTACTGGTTAGCCCGCATGGATGCAAAGGCTAGTTTGCTAAAGGCCAGTCACTTTTGTTACTGCAGAGTAACTTATGTTTAAAGCTTTAACAAGCCTTTCATTTTAAATTGTCAAAATTTACTCATCATGTGGTGAAGAAGTTTCAACAATCTATTAAGTGACACAACTTTCATAATGAAGTATTTATAATAATATGTATGTTGATGGTTACTGAATAACAAACATATTTTAAAACTGAACGTTGGTTATTTTATTATCTATTACAATAGAAAGCCATGAAAAACGGGGAATTAAATATTAAGAAACAAAAGAGTTTTACCGTGGGAGGCGAATGTCCCGAGTGCCGTACAACAATGTTTAAGAATGTCGGTGTTTTTATTGTACTTTGTCATCATGGAAATAATACTGTGCACTCCCCCAACATACATCAAAGATCTCGCAATGTCACCTAAAATGTATTAAAATGCATGCGTTTAATAGCATAGATATTAAAACCTAAGATAAACAACAGTATAAGGGTGAAATTATCAACAATTTTAAAAACATCTTTTTCTTTTCATGTAACAATTACTCTTTTAATGTAACTTATTTGATTCCCTTGTAGGAAGTCTAAGTATATTCCAAACATCTCTCGTACATTAATTTAAGGATGCTTATATTTCTATGTTTTTGGTGTTTATAATAGATATATAAACAGCTAGAAGAGGAAAGCGGTTTGACTGGTGTAGTCGTTGTCCTGCTTCTCGTATGCTTGTGCAAGTCGTCTTAATACTGTATACGTATAAAACTGCGTAATAGAATTCTAATAAATGTTGTATGATTCAAAAACATTGGGGTACACCGAGCTTGTACCTATCGAATTGGTCTGTATTTTTTCAGTTCATATCACATCATAATTATTCAATTGCGACAAAGTACATTGGTACGAGTTAGACTCGAATGTAGCACGAGCATGTACGAATAAAGCACGGATATACTCGGTCAAGCAAATTGAACACGATTTGCATACGAATACATACGGTTCCAAATACGGTCTAGTACGGTCTGGTACGATAGAATGCGACGTTTACTCGATTAACTTTACTTTCACAGGGATTACACAGGATTCCGTCGACTTTTGTTTGAGTTGTGCTCGACTTATCACACATTTTGGTATGTTTTGATATATATTGACCCATTCTGATGGCTTGGCTTCATAAATTTTTGAACTTTCAACGAAGAACACCTATATATGTGAATATTGGTTATAATTATAAAACAATGCCAGATGTAACAGATGACAGGATAAGAAAATTAAAAAATCATCTGCAGGAACAGAGGTTTGGAGTGGTCGGCGGGCCTGGATGGTCCTTTTTGTATTCCTCCTCTGCGAAGGAAACTTTTACTTTGCATGCATTCTAGAATGTTGCAGCAAGTACTGCGGATAGATCTAGCAGTTGAGGGTGGCAGCAGGTAGTTGTGGTTTTCGTTGTACAGTTCGTGCTGATGTAGAGGCCGTGTAGGACCGTATACGAGGCCGGGTGAGACCGTGTATACCCGTACTATACCGTGTATGCCATGCATGATTCGTACTTGAACCGTACTGGTCGTTTGACGATCGTATGAAACCATGTGTGCACTCGTGTGAATCGTACCGTGATCGGGTGACAGTCAATGATGGATGGACAGTCTCGAACGATTCCATACGATTTATATACAATCTTTACACGGTAGGGATCACTCGTGGATTAGAATTCAAATACAGTTGTTGTCTCATACGGTCTCACACGGTCTCTAACGGTCTTGTACGGTCGCTTATACGATTATACACAGACATGACATTCGTACCAGTTTTTTTAAGTTTTAAAAATCATACACGGCTTACACGGATAGACTCGAATGGCCTGAGTGTAATTCGGATAACGCTACAGCTGGTTCGGTTGCATTTATGGTTTACGGGGTGGCCAAGTATAAGCCGTGTGTTCTGTTGGAGACGGCTTTAGTCAAGGTCCTACCTGATAGAACTAGATTGCCGACAACAACGCAACATTTTTCGATAATTGTGACGTCATTTTCGTGACGTGCCATCGTGGTGAGGAAATCTGAAGGATTAACGCTCTCTGTCAGTAGGTCTCTCCATTCATCTAAAACAGATAACAAAAAATAATTTAGTTATACCGATTATAAACAACAATTTCCTCAAACTCATCGAATCAGGTACCTTCTTTTCTGTACAGAAACAATCATATGTGCATGTGCGTTTAAAGTAAACTTATAATTGCGCTATGGTAAACAAATTTTGCACTGTTGATTGTTAATTTTAAAACATTGATTTTTAAAGAAAAAATGGTAAGTAATAAATGCATATTAGAAAATATTATCTTAAATTGATTTTGAAAGAGCATTTTACATTCACAATTGGATTGTGGATATAGTTGATACACGTGAAAATGTGATGTCCAAGAGGATAATTTTTAAAAAAAAACAGCTTGTCATTTGAATAAATTGCGATCACCCGAAAACAAAACAGACCGAGTGTCTTTACCAACTTCTATCAGAACAAGATAGTGTGGTCTTGCTTCCCAGATTTTTACAAATAAGTCTGTCATAATTTTTGTCACATGGTAGATTCTTCGATTACTTTAGGACTAGCGCCTAAAGCGGTCTTTAGCTTTTATTTTCTGTTTGAAAAACAATTTTATGTTGTTTTAAACTATGTATTTCAACACTTGTTTCTTGGGAAAGTGCGTCATATCACTGTCAAATCTACTTCAAAACAACGAACGTCTCGAGAGGTATTTATACGTTAGTGACGTTCGTTTCTAAAACTAAAAGATCAGAATTTATTTTATTTAAATATAGAGAGAAGACCGTTAGATTAGAGACATCTAGGGGTTTCCTTGTAGTTTCTTTATTATATCGTCTGCATTTTTTTCCCGCCTTAATTCTGTTGAGCAGGCAAAATCACGACTCCTTGATTAAAAAAAAAGGTAAAGTTGATATGACTTGATCACTACTTCATTTTTAAACTTAAAGTAAATGAAGCTATAAACCTGCTTCCTGTTGTTCACAAAATATTGTTCGAATTTTGAACAAGCATACCTTGAAAATAACTAAAGAAATACTTGGGAAACCATTATTTAACGGTTAAAACTCTGCTTAAAATAGCACCATAATACATGTATGTTGTCATTGAGAAATTCTACGTCACAAGTTCTTTAGAATCGGCCATTGGACAATGGAGACAATAAATCAAATCATAAATGTATATGATTTGATATACATGTAATAAGCTTCATATCCTTAAATTACACGATACCTTGAAAAGAATAGAATCCAAAGACATCTAATATCACTGCAAGAATGTCTGTGTCCTCTGGAAAGGATTTTACTATTCCATGCAGCAGTTTCATTCCATCATGTTCTGACAAGTAATGAAGACTTGCCTCTGAAAATATATAAACATAATACATTTATATATAATCAAATTACCATAAGCTATAAGAATCCTCCTAACCGGCAAAGTACACTTATATATTTATATATTTATTGTTGTTTGGTTTTGAATTTCTCTGAGACTATTTGGGTGTACTTTGTATGATACATTAGGTTGACAATGAATTTAAAATAAATTTTAAAGTTAAAACCAAACTGTTCATATCAATACTGACAGGGTTACTGAGTACATTTCAAATAATGACATGTATAATATATGTTTTAAAGCGTTTAGTTGAGAAAGATTATTTTATTAATCACTGTCATCTTGACGACTCAAAGCGGAAATTGACGAAATATTCCAACAGATATGTATGGTGTCTGCTTTGGTACATTGCGACAACGCAACATATATCGTTATCGCCTTTTCGTCTTGTCGGTAGCGACAAAGCGCCAAACGGTGCCTCGTCGCGCTGTCGTCTTGTGGTCCTGTCTCTAGCGAAGCACGCCAAACGGCGCATTGTCGTGCGGCGCGTTGTTGTGATGTCGCCTTATCACTTGGCTTATAAGCCCGTGCGACAATGTGACATCGCAACAACACGCCGCAAGACCATGCTCCGTTTGGCGTACATCGTTAAGCGACAGGACGACAAGACGAAAGTCCGACAACGCGCCGTTTGGCGAATTTACCTGTTGTTGCTAGCGCCAACACGACGCACTAAAGCTTTCCGTATCAGCCACCATAGATATGTTAACACTCTCCGCACTAAACTACTTTCAAAATAGGTTTATTTATCATGATGTAAACTATTAATGTTTTACGATGTACTTTTACTTTTTAGAGAAATATTGATTTTAGAGAAATATTGATAAAAACGATAATCATTTGAATCAAGTTGCTCTAATTACTTTATTTTTATTTTCAAAACCAATTTAGAAAATTCAACTGACACACATTGTCACATTTAGTAAAACCTGACTCACTTTACTTGAAAATCTCTAAAATAAGTAATAATATATAAATAATTTTGATGATATAATCTTTATTTTACAATGTTATTCATCAGTTATACGTATACAGTCGTGGTTAATTTTATTCATTACCCCTCACTTTTTTGAAATGTTAATTTCCCAAAGACCAATGGGAGTTATTCTTACTGTTAAGTGTATCATTTGACTAAAACTTTTGTACTTTTACATAGGTAACAGTACCTTAAGTTTTCACATAAAAGATCTGAAAAGTAAAACCTTACAGACACAGTGTCCCAATTAGGTATTTGTCTGGGGTAATAAAACGAATAAAACATATGAGCCGCGTCATGACAAAACCAACATAGTGCGTTTCCGACCAGCATGGATCCAGATCAGCCTGCGCACCCGCGCAGTCTGATCAGGATCCATGCTGTTCGCTATCAGTTTTTCTACTTGTAATAGAGTTGGTAAGCGAACAGCATGGATCCTGATAAGACTGCGCGGATGCGCAGGCTGGTCTGGATCCATGCTGGTCGCAAACGCACTATGTTGGTTTTGTCGTGACTCGGCTCATATGTGTTACAGTATCAGCAAAAATATTATCCCTCGTAAAAATACTATTACGCTCGGCTAATGCCTTGGGTAACAGCACGGATGTTATTTTTGCAACCTAATATATCATTTATATAATAATGTACATTTTCTAACTGAAACCTTTTATAAACACTACAAGACGGATAATGCGTATTTAGATTCTTAAGAGTTTTTCAGCATTGTTCATTCAAATTTACTATTAAGCCAAGTCTTAATTGCAAGACTGAAATTATCAATAATCCATAATTATAACAAATATAACCATTAACAAATATGAAACATTTAAAGGGTATATAGTTATATCTTATGAAATATTTCAATAGAAAAAATAAACAGTAAAATTAGTAATTCACTACCATATTTCTGTCATACGAGACTTTTTGGATGTTTTTGTTTAATTTTTACAGCGGAAATATAACTAAATATATAAATTCAACGTGGGAAACATTCTTTGCTTTTTTATTTGATCTTACATCGTACATATATCAAAATGTTGAACTTACCTGAGTTTTGAACTTGTTTTAACAACGATTTACAAGCCTCCAGTTGAATTTCCTTACTCTTCGGAAATCTCTTCATCGCATCAAGTAAGGTTTTGATAGCCTTTTGTCTGGATAATACTATTTCTAAGGAATCTGTTGTATAAATAAAAAAAAGTTAAAACGTGATATTATTTTTCCCCATATAAATGGTACAAAAATGCTTAGAGATACATATTAAATAGATAGAAGCTGTAGATAAAATTAGAAAACAGATAAATGATCATAATCCTTTGTTCTAGCTTTGACCTTGAAGATAGATGTCCGCCATTTTGTTTTGATATAACAATGATGACAAAAAAGTTTAGTTTGTCTTAGACCTCTTTTGATTGATTTCTCACTAATTTTGCTTTCCTTGCAAATATATTTTTCATTTATGGTCATTGTGTTCATCGACAGTAGGCAAATCAAGACAAGTCATGAAGAAAGTGTTATATATACTGTATATTACTTGTGCAATTACAGAATTTAGCAATGTGATAACAAAGGATTCAACTGTCTCTCCTCAGCGAAATTAAACATATGTCGAGAATGTAAGAAAGAACATTTACAGTGTCGATAAGGTAAACATTTTGACAACAAAAGAATACCTTTGTAAAAAGAGTGAAACTATATTTTTCTAGATATCATAAACAAAGTCTGATTCGTTTTCTGTTCCTACCCTTTTCAAGATACCATCAATATATTTCTGTATCTTTATGTTTAATCGTGTAAACAAATATGCTTAATAATAAAAAAACTAAATTTTACACACAAACCTTGGTCATCTATGCTACCGATTTCCTTACAAAATTTGAGCGCAGTGTCAAAATCATCTGGCAATGTTTGCATCCTACCAATAGCGTCTTGAACCGACGTCTTTCTCTTTTGTTTCTCTTCGATTTGTGAAACTGCTTTGAAAATAAAGAAAGAAAACAAACAAATTAATGCTTGTAAACCTCACTAGCAAATTATCAATATTAAGCTCTGATAAAAAAATCTGCAAATGGTCTAGGGTGCATGGCTTGAAAGTAGCACTGAAATCAGGGTTTTCTATCTATTTCTTACGGAAAAATAGCAGGTCTCAAATTAGGAATATAATATTATTATACTTACTTGTTGTTAACTAACTACTGTTTATAAAACGTACTAAATGATTGTGCAACTCTATAAGCCCATCAATGACAAACTGATTCTTTTTTAATGTAAACAGTTCCTTTTTATATGTGATAAATAGAATATTATATTCGTTTTGGTTTATTTTAAATTTATTCTATTGAAATATTATGCTCAGGCTCGCATGTTATATTTGTATTCAACTCGTTCAATAAATTCAGTATTGAACCTGAACTAATTCAATATCCTCTATATATAACTTACTTTCATTGTTTTGAGGTGGCATGTCTGTACCCGTCACTTGTTTGATGCTTGTAACTTCTACGCCTGAAACAGTTATTGCAGGAACTGAAAGAAAAATGATCACTTGTTTAACATTCTTGTTGTCATATTCTGTCATGTACCTTAATGCCGCAACAATATACCAGTTAGCAGATGGTAGCAAGCCTATCATCATTAAGTAAACACTTAAGTATAAATACATGTATAAAATTCTACATTCAAAATAAAGTCAGAACCATTTCTATAACTACAAGTAATATTCAAAAGGTATACGAGTTGAACTCGACTCAATTATCGGACACTGAATTTCAAAAATAGCTTCAAAAGCCACGTGGACCATATTTTCTTAGTGATTCAATTTTTTGACAACTTTTGAGTTCATATTTTCTTTTTTTCATTTCAACAACAATGTTTTTATATTTTTGGTTTTTTTACCTACATAGCTTTATCTAGTATATATATTGTTAACGTGCAATAAATACATTTATACATCACAACAACATTTATAATTCAATAGATAAAATGCTTAATGTACAATCAAATGACACAAACTTTCGAAGAGGATAAACTTTACAATTATAATTAATAAATTTCTTAAAGTCAAACCTTCTTTGAAAGATGTGCATACATTTATCGATATATTTCTGTAACAAATACAAAGTAATTCAATGGAAATTAAACATAAATCGCCGACTATAGATAATGTGTAATAGAGTATATCATAACAAACATTCTTCCGCATAAAGAAGTTCAATGTGTTCTTTTGATGAAAACTAAAGCATATTTTAAAATATCGTAATGTAAGCGTTTTGTTTGAATGCCATAATGTAATTTAATAATTGAACAATGTAATTTTATAATTGAACAAAGCAAAAAGGTCATGGTGGCCTTATATCGCCCACCTGTCTATAAAGGCTCCCAATGACAAGGGTAGATAGCATTGAATATTATAAATAAAAAGCAAGTACATTTTATGTACTTGGTCAGAATCTGGGTAACTGATATCAGTACTCAATTCTACGTCTGAAATGGTCATCGATATCCAAATATCTGTAAATGACAAAGAAGACTTTGAGGTCAAGGTCATTTCAAGGTCAATATTATAGTTGAACAATTCAAATGCCGGTCCTGTCATAAATGTATGAATGACATCTGATCATTGATAACAAAGGAATGGCAGTTTTATCACAATTCAATAATTTGACTTTAAAATATGTCTTAACTTTTTATTATTCAAAGGCATATAACTCTTGACATATTCAGTCGTTTTAGCTCATAAATAAATGAACTTGATCGAGACCTTATTGTAATACATATTATTTATATTTTTTAACAATGGAGAAGACACGAAAGCACTAACAAGGTGAAAGATAGTGCTTATTTGCTTTTTTTTTTGTTAGATTTACCTATAATCTTACTTTGTTGAGATTTTATGGTCATAGATATTCTGTTAAAATTTGTCAAAATTGAAGGAGAAATGAGAGCGTTGGAGTGGTAACAATGTGAAATATAACAGATATTGTAATTCAAAGGCAGATAACCCTGGACATATTGTTTAGGATATGTGGATGCTAGAGTGGTAAAAAGCTAATTTTGGACGGACAGACAGACAGGCGCATACTCAGGTGAGCTAAAATTAACACACAATAAAACCTGATAATAACTGGTCAAAATTAACGAAAATTATATAAACTTTAAAATATGTACGTTATGCTGCAGGGCCATGCCTTTTTGCTGCAAAATGTACGTCAGAAACATGTGGACGATATGCGCCGCAAAACGTTTATATAGGTACGTTTTACGGTACGGACGTTTTGCAGTGTAACAAAGCATAGAATCATTTATTGATAACGTTGCATAATTAGCTTAAATTGATACAATAACATACAATTCAGAAAATATAATATAGTATAAACAACAATAAATATTTACGTCAATTTTCTGTATCCAGAAGAAAAAAAAGAATATAACTCCTTGCCAGTGAATTTCACACCGATCTTTTAGCCGAAAATTGTTTGGTTACGATATTTTAGTAAAAATAAAAGAAAAAGGACTAAAAACTATTTTGTAGAGGGCGCGTCCTCCTTGTCGAGTGAAAATACACATTTATAGGGCTTTGGAAACGATAAATCAAACCATAGTCCAGGTTACAGTCGTGGTATCATATACCATCAAAGCATTGGCTACCACAAAGATCTATTGATAAGTCAAATAAGGGTAGATTTGAAGTGTAATTCAATGGTCAATAAACTTTTAAAATAAATATACTTGCAACTGTCTAATGATTTAATTAAGTGTGTTATAAATAGCTGAGCGATTTGTAATGTATTGAAATTGTTAAGCGCCGCCTTATCAAACACCCTCAGAATAAAGTCATAAATAAATATGACTGTGTGCTTGTAGGCCTTTTATGCCCAAGTAATTCTTTTATTTTATTTTCCTAAAAGCATTTTAATTATTGCTGTTCTGTTAAAGTTTTCAAACAAATGACTCATAGGCCAACTACTTGAGCCATCTTTAGCTTCTGTTGTTTTGTTGTTGTTGTTGTTGTTGTTGTTTTTAACTAGTACAGTTATATTGATGAACATGAATGTTGCAGTTCGCGCATGCGCATTCTACGTAGTGCAAAAACGCAATTTAACGATGCCTACAATGTATCATATTTAAAGGTTTTAACAGAGTGATTTCAAGTTATGTCACCCAGAAAACAGTAATTTTGCGATGAAGTCAAAATACTACATTGCTTGCATTTTGCTAATTTTATGATAATCAATTTCACATTAAGTGCTAAATCAAGTGCTACATTCTTCACGCGATAAACATCTTACATGCTCTAAAGTCATTATTTTAACATTATATTTACTGTAATAAAATATTATTACGTAGTAAATTCGAAAATCAACCGTTTTCAGTGTATAGAATGATGAGCGCTTTACAGCTTAAAATTGAGGAAGATAAATAATTTGAATAGAATTCTGGCTTCAATAAATTTAATTTTAAAGCACATGAAAAAAAACTATTTTACTCTGAAAGCCAAGTAGTGCCATAACGATTTTTTGTTTCTAGTAATAACGAGATAGTTGGCTCGAAATTGCGAGATAGTTGGCTCAAAATAACGAGATAGTTGGCTCAAAATAACGAGATAGTTGGCTCGAAATTGCGAGATAGTTGGCTCGAAATTGCGAGATAGTTGGCTCAAAATAATGAGATAGTTGGCTCGAATTGCGAGATAGTTGGCTCGAAATTGCGAGATAGTTGGCTCAAAATTGCGAGATAGTTGGCTCAAAATTGCGAGATAGTTGGCTCAAAATAATTGAGATAGTTGGCTCGAAATTGCGAGATAGTTGGCTCGAAATTGCGAGATAGTTGGCTCAAAATAATGAGATAGTTGGCTCGAATTGCGAGATAGTTGGCTCGAAATTGCGAGATAGTTGGCTCAAAATAACGAATAGTTGGCTCAAAATAATGAGATAGTTGGCTCGAAATGCGGATAGTTGGCTCGAAATTGCGAGATAGTTGGCTCAAAAATAATGAGATAGTTGGCTCGAAATTGCGAGATAGTTGGCTCGAAATTGCGAGATAGTTGGCTCAAAATAATGAGATAGTTGGCTCGAAATTGCGAGATAGTTGGCTCGAAATTGCGAGATAGTTGGCTCAAAATTGCGAGATAGTTGGCTCAAAATAACGAGATAGTTGGCTCGAAATTGCGAGATAGTTGGCTCGAAATTGCGAGATAGTTGGCTCGAAATTGCGAGATAGTTGGCTCGAAATTGCGAGATAGTTGGCTCGAAATTGCGAGATAGTTGGCTCAAAATAATGAGATAGTTGGCTCGAAATTGCGAGATAGTTGGCTCGAAATTGCGAGATAGTTGGCTCGAAATTGCGTGATAGTTGGCTCGAAATTGCGAGATAGTTGGCTCGAAATTGCGAGATAGTTGGCTCGAAATTGCGAGATAGTTGGCTCGAAATTGCGAGATAGTTGGCTCGAAAATACGAGATACTTTGCTCGAAATTACGTTATAGATATCTTGAAATTACCAGATAGTTGACTCGAAATTCAGCTTGCTCAAATGCAACTTTTCAAAATTCAACACTTCAAATCTCAAAACACTGCGCCAGAGCACTTAGTGGCAACAACTTTATGTAAGTTTGGCTGAAATTGCACAGAAACGATTTTTTTTTTTGATAAATAATATTACATTTTATGTTAGAAAAAAAATAAAAAGCCATCAGTCTGTCAGAAAGTTCTAAGTCAAAAATCCTGATAAGTGTGACAGGGAACTTAGAGACAATAGTTCTGTTAATATTTGGTTTAAATTTCCTTGAGAAATATAGGTGTTGAAAACAGATCAGTTGAGTATTTTACTCAAAATATATATTTTTTAAAAAAAAACATCATAGGGTCATATTATAAAAAATAACAATAACCTGTCATTAACATCGATAAATATGATGCAATGTCTGTGCCAACAAAGTAACTGTACCCAAAAAAACCTGTATTTTCAAATTTTAAAAAAAAATCATTCAATTTTCTGACAGAGAGTGGTCAATAAGTTTTGTTCAATTAAAATACATATAATATACAATATAAATGCATATTACCTATCAAAGATTTATCAGAGACTAAAAGGTTGAATTATAATTTTATACATAAAAATCAAAAACACCCTTTCTACTTTAACTCAGAGTTGCGAATCTGTGTAAAAAGCAATCTACCGAAATTAATTAAGATACAATGTATTGGGGTAACAAGGTACCTTAAATATTCCATAAAGGAAGTAAAATTATAGTCACATTAAAGCCTAGGTCATAAATAAGAAAATGCCGCCGGGCGGCGTCTGTTTCTCCAAAAAATCGCAATATCGGCCGGCGTCCGTCCGGCGGCAGTGACTATCGGACGGCAGCAGCTGAAAATTTTGCTCATCGGGCGGGCGCCTTTGAGTTTTAAGTAATACTTAAAAGCTAACGGCGGCCGGACGATAATTTTTGGGGTCACTGAGTATAAATATCATCGAGCGGACATCGTTCGATCGCCGGGCGGCGACCGGGCGATGATTTTTTTGATC